CGCTAACTATTGTATAACCAAACAATTATATTTATCGAATTGGTTATTTACCATCCGCTACCCATTTTTCGCTATCCATTATCCACTATCCACTAACCGTCACCCGCTACCCGCTACCCGCTACCCGCTACCCGCTACCCGCTACCATTATTCACTATCTGCTACCCACTACCCGTTATCTACTGAATTTTAACCGCCGTAGCAAACAAACCTTAAATCTTAATATTATTTAAAATATTAATTTCACCAACTAACTGTACAATAAAGTGCGGTGCATCAAAAGCTACATAAATATTCTTAAATGATCAGGTAATAAAACCATCCTTAACTAATCTTCCTTTGTCTTACTCGCAAAATATATACTCCTGAGTTTTGCCTTCGCCAACTGACCAAGACTTTTCCTCTCCCTTCAGTCTTCTTCTCTCCATTTCTTTCGCAATTTCTCACTTGGTCCCTTCCATTTCTCTCTGATTCCATTGTTTAAACTTTTCCCGGGAAAGTTGATATCCTCTCCTGGTTAGTTCTTCTGAAAGCATTTGGTTTTGAGAAGTTGGGGGTAGAGGTTTATCTGGGTTCCGCCTCAAATGGGTCGGATAAAACGAATGGGCTTCATCAATGTTGAAGATTTCGCGGAGTTCTTCAAGTACATGATGTTGGAGAAACCCTTTCTGTGTCTGTTGATTCCTTTGATCATGGTGTTTTGGGCTATAGAGAGATGGGTTTTCTCCTTCTCCAACTGGGTTCCTCTTGTTGTTGCCGTTTGGGCAACTATTCAGGCAAGCCCTTCATGATTCCATTTCTCTATCAAAAGTTTATGGAACCCAATTTCATTTTTCTGGGTTCATATTATTGGAATTTAAATTCAGCATTTTTTCTTAGAGATCCAGTTGCTTATGACAAAGTAACTTTTTTTTTTTTTGCAATCTTGTCTGCAGTATTGTAATTATCAACACAGAATAGTTGTTGAAGACCTGAATAAAAACTGGAAGCGGGTCATATTGCAAGCCTCGGTACCTATCTTTCTCTTGATTTTCTACTTGTATTATATTGGAGTTTTATTAACTTTGTTCTCTTCAATCTCTTGGCTTAAAACAGCCAACAACACCATTGGAACACTGTGAGTGGCTGAACAAGCTTTTAATGGAAATTTGGCCAAACTACTTAAGCTCAAAGCTTGCATTAAGGTTCAAATCCATTGTTGAGGTGAGAAATATGTTACATGTTTTATACGGTTTCTAAGATATTACAAATTCATTGTTTTCTACATCTTTTAATCAAATTAATTACCTGAACTTTCTCGCTTGCAGAGGCGTTTGAAACAACGCAAATCAAAATTTATCGTAAGTGATTTGATTTTCATATTTTTCAGAGAAAAAGAAGTTAATTTCTATTGCATAATCTGAGGATTTAAGTGATACTAACTGTATTTTATGCTCTTTTACTGGGGAAAACTGTTGTTCATGTAGGAGAAGATCGAATTACTGGAGTTCAAGTTAGGTACATGCCCACCATGTCTAGGTCTTCATGGGACTCGCTGGTCAACTACAGGTGACCAGGTTTGGTTCCTAGTTTCACTTTTATGTGTCTTTACCGTGGACTGGGGATTATTCAAGTTATTTTGTTTTCTCATTGAAAAATTAATCCATGTCTGTATGGGAGGATGGCATGAATATAGAGATGCAATGTTATTGTTAAGTCTTAAGAATATATTGGTTTATTTGGTTGCTTTTTAATATTTTTAATTTAGTGCTTGAGTTACAACGATTATCTGATAAATTAGGAATTAGCTAGTTTGCTGATCCAATATTTGGCTGTTTGTTTTGAGTTTTAGCTATTTTTGGGTTTTCAGTTGGACTTTGACATCATAAGAAATAGCTCAATGAATTTAGAGCTGATATATCTAGATCTATATATATATATATCTGTATATATTTTCCCTTGTTGGAGTGTGGGGGAAGGCTTGAGATAAATTTAAATATGGGAAGAAAGGTTATGATTTTACTTTGATCAATTGGAAATGTGAAATAAAAATCTGGTCTCTTTTAACCACCATTTCACACTTTGACCATGGACTGGTATAAGGACAGTCTAAAGTAAGTTCTGGATGAAGAAGGTTTGTAATGCATCATAGCTGCTTATCTGTCCATCCTCCAACTTCCCACCTCTGATCCAGGAGGTTGCACCCTGATGAGGTGTCTGATATGGAACCTTAAAGCTAGATGGTTATGTACCTTTTGTACCCACTCAGGATCACCTGCAATGTGTCTGAGATGAGAAAGCAGGCAACAGGATTTTTGAAGTGCCTAAGTTTTAATTTACAACTTGCTTTTTTTATTTTTATTTTTTATTTTGATGTATTTGATGGTATGGTATTCTTTCACAGATTATTCTCTTCACTGACTTAAAGAAGTGAATTTGTTGACATCTTCACAGAGCTTGTCTTGTTTATTTTGACAGAAAGTTATGCGTTTGGGATTTGACTGGGACACAAATGACATAAACATCATGCTGCTTGCTAAGGTAGCCAAGCCATTAATTGGAACTGCCAGGATTGTTGTAAACAGCCTCCACATCAAGGGTGATGTATGTTTATTTGCAGTTTTATTATTGTTACTTATATGTGTAATATAATCCATTCCCCTAATTTGATGACTTTGATCAATGATTTGAGTTTCTGGTCCTGTTGATAGAATATAAATTGAAAAATTGGCATGTGGGCACAAAAACATTTTCTTGTCATACATGTATCTTTTACTCAAATATTAAGTTCTTATTGATTTGACATTTTTTTTTTCTAAATTCTAATTTAGAATGCTTTAGGCTTTGTTTTCCTTGGAGCGATCTGCAAGCAGGTGCTGGGGGTTCCTATCCTTTCTTCATCCTGTCTTGTCCCCTTTCTTCTCTCCTCAAAGTTGTTTCATGGCTCTGGAAGTTTTCTTCTATGTTTTGCAGTTTGCACTCGTCTTAGAGTTAACTAGAATGTAGAATTTTCTTATGATTTTAAGATTGGCATTGGATTCTGCATTACTGAACTATAAATTTGATATTCTTTTAATTAATGTAATCTCTGGTTTCCACCTTACAGCTTCTCTTGATGCCGATTCTGGATGGTAAAGCAATTTTGTACTCATTTATATCTACTCCTGAAGTAAGAATAGGAGTTGCCTTTGGAAGTGGAGGAAGCCAATCACTGCCTGCCACTGAGCTGCCAGGTGTTTCATCTTGGTTGGTATGTTTCATAACTAAATCATGTTTTCCTAATAGAGGAATAAATTTTCATTTGTGGTATTTTTTTTCTTTCTATCTTCCTAGTAAATTCTGTGTTTTGATATTTGATAAAGATGTCACTGTAACAGTTCTATGTGTATTTTGCAATTTTGATACTGGTTATCATTTTATACCATCCTAAAAGAGGGAGAGTGAAAAATAGTTTTTCTTGATTTATGGAAGTTGCCATGTCTAATTTTTCTGATAGGGCCATGTTTCTAATCATTGGAACAAATTTTTCTGATAAGGTCATGTTTGTAATCATTGTAACAAAATTCAATGCTTTCAATGAAGCTTCTTGTTAAAATATTCTTCTATATTTTTATAGAAAAACAGTTGGTTGAATAGTAGATATAAATCCCTTGTACTTTCTACAAATATGTTATCTTGCCTCACTTGCATTATTCATGCTGGCACATACTTTTGCAAGCTAATTATCCTCTGAATAGGAATTTGTAACTTTAACTGGCATCACAACAAATCTAGAATTTTCCCATAACGGTCAATTCTTATTTTAATTTTTTATACAGGTCAAAATTTTGACTGACACCATAGTTAAGACAATGGTTGAACCTCGTCGCCGTTGCCTCTCATTGCCACCTGTAAATTTATGGAAAAAGGCCATTGGTGGTATTTTATATGTCAAAGTCATTTCTGCTAGTAAACTTTCAAGAAGTAGCTTAAGGGGAAGTTTGTCAAGGAAGCAGCAAACTTCTTCTGTTCATGGTTTTCAAGATATGGTTGACGATAAAGATCTACAGACTTTTATCGAGGTTGAGCTAGAAGAGCTAACCAGGAGAACAGAAGTCAGATCAGGCTCTTGTCCTCGATGGGATTCAACATTTAATATGGTTTTACACGAAAATACAGGAATTGTCCGTTTCCATTTATATGAGCGGACTCCCAGCGGTGTGAAGTATGACTATCTAGCTAGTTGTGAAATTAAGGTACTTGATGCTAATCTTATCAGAACTCATGAGCCCACAAGTCAATTAGTTACCTGGATGGTTTCTGGACAGGGACAGTGCAAGTGAAACACATTTAACATATTTAAGACTCACAGTGCTAATGCCCAAACTTTTTATGGGGTGTGAGGAAATATATGACTATAAAAATTAGGTGAATGGGTATTAACAACTGATTTTATCCATAACATCCTTCATGGAATCATTAAGGTCTATCTTTTTTTCTTTTCTTTCTACCTTTTGAGCAGATAGGATACGTTGCAGATGATTCCACAATCTTTTGGGCAACAGGACCAGATGCTGGGGTGATAGCTAGGCGTGCTGAGTTTTGTGGAAAAGAAGTTGAAATGGTCATTCCATTTGAGGGTGTCAATTCTGGGGAGGTAAGGTTACTTCTAGTGCATAGGATTGCTAGATGTTGCTCTATAATTACTCTATACAATGTAAATTCTTTGCCTTTACAAATAAAGCCTTCTGTAATGAAATTTCAAATTTGTTGCATCAAGTTTTGAATTTTATATGAATAAATCTTAATGAATTTCATTTGAATATATCTAAACAAGTTTTCTTAATAAAGGAATTTAGATTTATTATATACTTCAATTTATGGTGATCATATAATACAAGCCAGTTAGCCAAGGAGGAAGTGGAAGAGGGGGGACAATCATTCTCTCAATACAGTACTCTCTGTACTCTTGGTGAAAGAAATCAGAGTCTGGACTTGCATTTCTGTTATGAACTTATTAATAATGAAAACACTTTACTATATTTTTAGGTTGAATAAACCAGAAGAGCCAGTGTCCACTTCTTTTGATGAATGGTTCAGTCTCTCTGCAATTTTGCTATGATGTGTGTCACTTTAGATTGCTCACAAAGCAATTCTGGGATTTGACTCTAGATCATGTGATTGGTATTTGTTGTGAAATCTATATTGATAGATTATTTTTTCTGGGGAAGACTCAGATTAGATAACAAGAGTTGAAACCTACCAATTGACAATCTTGACTTTTTCAACTGCATGGCTAACCTTTTGGTGCAGACCGCCTGGCTGCTGTGATTGTGAACCTTGTCCATTAATTCACCTCAATCTATATGCCAATAACTTGCCACTGATTCATCTTGCAAAGATGATAGCAATCATTCTAATTGAAATTTATTTTTATATCAAAGGGAAAGCTGTTAACTTTCACTAGTCTTTGCCAAATTTAAGAGCAGATGAATGTAGTAGTTATCATTTTCACCAAGAATGTAGACTACTTTTACACACATGCTGTTAACACTTTTGATGTGTTTCTCCTTTGTTTTCATTTCTTAATTGCAGAGTCAATCACTAAGATACAAAACTACTGTCTGAAAGTTCTCTTCTTATTGTATTTGGCAGTTGACAGTGAGACTTGTGTTAAAAGAATGGCAGTTCTCTGATGGTTCTCACAGCTTGAGTCATCTTCGAAGTAGTGTTCAACAATCATTTAATGGCTTGTCGAATTTCCTTTCAACAACTGGAAGGAAGATTAACATTACTGTTGGTGAAGGAAAGGATCTTATCACAAAAGACAACTCTGGAAAGTGCAACCTCTATGCTAAACTGCAGTATGGAAAGGTAGCTATTGATATTGCAAATGTGGAAACTGTATTCCTTTACATGGTCATATTTTAATCAATTATTCTCAATCTCACCTGTGTTCAATGTTGGGAATTTTCTATACAGGTTATCCAAAGAACAAAGACAGCTCATTCCTTCAATCCTAGCTGGAATCAGAAGTTTGAATTTGATGAGGTAGGAGGTGGTGAATACCTAAAGATAAAATGCTACACTGAAGAGATCTGTGGTGACGACTGTATTGGTAGTGCTCGAATAAGTCTTGAAGGACTTGTAGAAGGGTCTGCCAGGGATGTATGGATCCCACTTGAAAAAGTGAATTCAGGAGAACTACGGCTGCAGATAGAAGCTGTTAGAATCGATGACCAAGAAGGATCAAGGGTAACTTCTTATAACCATGAACTGATAATCTTTCGCAAAATTTTATTAGTATTGCCATTGCCTTTTGTATGTCTTGCATATGTATGTAAAGGTCCGGCAACTCATGTCATATAGAGCCCTAGTGACATAAATCTGCCAAAATTTAAGGCGAAGTTGCTAGAGCCACTAATATTCATGAAAGTTCTTATAATGTGTGTGATTTTAGAGAAACAACAAACCTAAAAATTTAAGCCTGTAGTTGTCAGAAATTGTTAATATCCTGCAAATCTTTCCATTTTCCAATCCATTTTGCTTCAAAGCTTGGACAAAGCACATACTAACTGCATATCTCCCATCGAAACTTTGTTATAAAAATAGGGAACTCAGAATTTAAACTCTAGACTAGATGACTGAAACAGGCTTTTGAACCATATAAATGAACGATCAAGTTCAAGTTGATAGGTGGAGATTCATGAATATGTTAAAGCTCTAGCACAAACAAATATGATCTTATGCAAGTAGAGCAATCCTACCGTTGTGGCATGACCAATTCAAAGAAGTACAAGTGATTGTCTATAGGATTTTTTTTTTTTAATCTTTTTAGTCATGTGATGCTAATATGTTTCCATTTTCACTTTCTTTCAGGGTTCCAATGCAGGTTCAGGCAATGGCTGGATTGAACTTGTTCTTGTTGAAGCGAGAGACCTTGTTGCTGCTGACCTAAGAGGGACAAGTGATCCATTTGTAAAGGTGCAGTATGGTAATTTGAAGAGAAGAACAAAGGTTTGTATGCCATGTCCATCCTGTTTTGTAGTTTTTGAATGCAGTACTTGCTCTGTCAAAAAAATAGACTTAAATGGTACATTTTAGATATTCTCCTCTCCCCCCTTCTGCCCCCTTTTTTTTTATTTCTTTCTTTTGTTTATTACATTTCCCACCACCACATTTAACTTGCCCCCATCATTACTCAGACAAGGATGCAGTTTCCCCTTCCCCCTCTCCCCATTCCTTCTAGCTTCTGCACTAATATGGCCGATGATTTAGTATAAGCATGTCTATGCCTTAATTATGCTTGCAAATGATGGCTAAGATTTAAGATATTTGGCATTAACTTTTAATTTCTTCTCAAATCTCAATCATCACTGATTTCACAATTTATCAGTATTTTATGGCTTGGCTTTCAGGTTATGTACAAAACATTGAATCCTCAATGGAATCAGACTCTAGAGTTTCCTGATGATGGCAATCCCTTAGAGTTGCATGTGAAAGACCACAATTCCTTGCTACCAGTATCAAGCATAGGTGATTGCATTGTAGAATATCAGAGACTTCCTCCAAACCAGATGTCTGACAAGTGGATACCCCTTCAAGGAGTGAATAGAGGAGAGATACACATTCAAATTACAAGAAGAGTACCAGAGCTCCTGAAGAAATCCAGTTTAGACTCTCAGGCATCCTTAAATAAAGGCAACCAAATTTCTAGTCAGGTGCGAACATTTATTTGTTTCAGTTTCTTTACCGTTTTTCTCCTTTGGATGAAAACATACAGTTCAAAGCATCATGGAGAAGTTATCTATGTACCTTATTTGGATAGCTTAAAATAAAAGCAGGTCTGGAGCAAAATTTCCCTCTCACCCTCAACTTCATTTCCCTAAACCCCAATATGCTTAACTGATAGTTAACTGTGTCCTTTGCTAATAGAAACCTGACTTTTATCTTTTTTTAAATGAGATTATACAGATGAAACAAGTTATTAACAAGCTTCAGTCTTTACTTGAGGATGGAAATATTGAAGGACTCTCCACAGCACTAACCGAGCTTGAAGCACTCAGAGATGCGCAGGAAGATTACGTAGTACAGCTTGAGACTGAGCAAATGCTTCTACTTAACAAGATAAAGGAGCTTGGTCAGGAAATCTTGAGCTCTTCACCTTCTCTAAGCAGAAGATCTTCTGCTTAACATCTTCTGGATCTTGAGCCTATGCTTTTCCTTTTTTCTATCATTGTAATTTTGCATTTGCCAATACGTTAAAGAATAAAGATAGATTTGTGTGTATGGCACTCTGACATAAATTTCCTCAGCTCATGCAGCTTCCTGCCACCTGAAATTGTATATGGATATATTATATATTTCCTACAAGCATGTTAATGATAAATCTGCCTTGAATCCTTACGTTTCTTTGTCAAACCCCAAGGGTTGGATTCATTTGTCTTCTTGTAGTCCAAGACTTCGAGTTTAGATTCAAGTTGTGAGGTGAGAAAATTTAAGTTCTTTAAATACATTCAGTAGATATAAGAATGCACCTTTAAGATTGTTTGATGAAAAATTAATTTCAAAATGTACAGAGTGATATAAAATTCAAATCAAGATAAAAAAATAATATTCTTTGCTAAGATTAAATATATTATATGTGGCATAACTCATAAGAGCATGTACTAAGTGGAAAATCATCAAATTGTAGGTCGCCTTTGAAGATATCTTGAGGCTCAATAGAAGTTTCTGTAAAAAACCCTAAAACAAATCTCTAGATCTAGGTTATATTGCATCATGGCATATCTCAATGTTTGAACGCTTCATCACCGGACAATATTGCCTGTTTCTGTAGTAGACCAATTTGTTAACATACCACCAAACCAATTTTTATTAACGTCCATGGCAATGGTTTTTGCTTTATTTATTGGCAACTTGGTACACTCCGGGCAATCTATTTATCCAACCATCAAGATACTTCTAGTCCATTTCGTTTCAATAGCTTCTATACACGAGGAACCCTCTTCTGGGATGATTGTAATATATGTATATTAAGATTATGTTTGGTAAAACTTGTAAAAATTTTTATTTTTTTTATACTGTTTATAAGTGATAAGTTTAAATTTTTATTGGAAGAAAAATTTCAAAGTTATTTTTAAAAATTAAAAAAAGTAAAAAATTTATAAAAAAAAAATTTATAAAAAGTATAAATTTAAAACTTTTCAAAATTTACTGTTTAAGATCTTTTTTAATATTAAAAAGAAACTAAAAAATATAAATTCTTTTAAAAAAAATTTAAATTTATGAAATATGAATAATATCAAAAAACTAAAACTCTTACGAATTTCACTAAACATGCTTTAAATCTCCGTTGTAAATATGCTAATTATCTAAAATTCAATGATACAAGAAATTATTTATCAATTAAATACCCATTAT